TGCAGGACTGTGAGCATCCCAGGAGGAGCAGCCTGTCCTGGAGGTTCTGTGGCTTGCCAAGGCCAGGGGCATCATCTCCTTCGTCAGAAGCAGAGAACAGTGGTTCTTCTTCCATGAGACCAAAGAAAGAGTCTTTGGGAGCTCACTGCTCATCTCCATCCACAGACAATTCTGTAACCCCAGGAAATGACTTTTCTGTTTCTTCCTGTGCAAAGACCAGATCAAAACTACAATGGGACAAGAAAATAGCAAAGTCCCTCGCCATAATTGTCTGTGTGTTTGCCATTTGCTGGGCCCCATACTCTTTACTAGTGATTTTCCGTGGGCCCTGCCAGGGAACTTGTGTCCATAACTTCCTGTATGAAGCAACGTTTTGGCTTTTGTGGATCAATTCCTCTTTGAACCCATTTCTTTACCCTCTCTGTCATGTTAAATTTCGAATGGCTTTTCTGAAAATTCTATGTCCCAAAAAGTTTGCAACATTAAGATCGAGTTCTTTTTAGAAAAAAGAAAAACAAGGTCCAAGAGGAGGTGGAAGAGGGACGTAAGTAGCCACTGTTTGAAATTAGATTTAGTCTTTTCCAGGAGATTAAACTATTTGGAGAATCTATACAAGCCTTCTGTGAAATGTCTTCCTACAGACAAATGTGCATGACCAAGGTTTGTGTACTTTTCCCAGCTATTTGAATTGATCAGGTAAAAGCTATTGCCTCTGTCTGACTTTCCCAAGTAGTCTACCCACAATATCTTAATTCTGATTGCTGAAAATGTTGTCTTCAATTGCAGTACCTCTTATATTTGTGTTCACGGGTGATATTAGTTAAAAATACAATAAAGTTATATATTACCCTTAGGGTCAATAGTATTCTACAGTTGCTATCTTCTCTGTTCTACTTCTTTTAAACAATTTGCATTCAGAACCCGATTTTTGCCTATATGAAACATCCAATGAAGTTACGATATTTGTTGCCAGGCACATAACAGGATTACTTCCTTTCACTAAAGGTTTTTGGCCATCAGAAGCAAAGAGGAACTACTTTCAAAAACTTGGATGTATGTGTTCTCTGCAGAAGGACGTTGCTCACTATATTTGTTCAGATGCAGCAGTAGAGAATTCAGGTGTGTAAAGCATTTATGTGGATGTCCAAGTATTCTGCAAGAAACCAGCCTTCTTCAGATGTAGTTTTGAGAAAACATAGAAACAGAAGTGTTTGTTCTTACTCCTTGGGGGAAAATGTCCAATTCTGTTTCTGTTACAAGCCCTCAGCTGGAGGCTGTGATAAACAGTATATTTCTTACACACTGTGTAAGGCTGTGTTTGTTTTTCTGCATGAGCCAGGAAAATGGCTGGCCTGGATGGCTGCCTGTAGTAGTATGTGTGGTGAGAGCTGAGACAGCTTGGAAGTGATCTTCTTTCAATACACACTTTCCATACTCTTAAGGACTATTTACTTGCATGGCTCTGGAATTATCAGGTATTAACTTCTCTACAAAATAAACAGGCATAACTTTAAAATGTAAATAATTTCTTTTCATCACATGGTCAGTAAGTATAAGACTAGGAAATAAATGGAAGAATAAAAACTAAAGAAATGTGAGAGGTATTTGGTGTCCATTTTATCTTCTGGGGTTTTTTGGGTTTTTTTGGAGTATATTTATATAGTATATTAGTATATTTTACCTAACAGCCTTCTGAATGTTCTTGTAGGCTGAACTACTGTTTAATTACCACTATATGTTTTGTTATACTATATGATAATTTATACTTTTCTACTTATACAAATTACACATGTATTCAGCAATGTAAAAATTTGAGAGACATTCTCTCTGTATTGTCTCTAAAATATAAGATGAGAACTCTAATATTCAATGCAAACTACATTGAAGATCTGCTTTTTGCATTTGTTGTAACATTTTGGCCAGTAAGTTGGGCTTGTAGTTACTGCTAGAGGTCAGCATTTGTGTATCTCCAAAGCATGTCAGAACACAAAACACAAAGGCCACTACACCCACCTGTTTTCTTAAAGTGCAGCATGTACCAGTCTTGCACCTGCAAGGCTTTTGTCATTCTTTTAAAATACAACTTGTAAAGTCAGTAGCATTGAGCACGTGCAAACAGATCCTTCTGTGTCAGCTTTTAGAGGAAATCCTCCTCAAAGTTTATAAGACATACTTTTTGACTGTGTCAGCAATACAGAGTTAAAGATTTCATTCTGGTTAGCTTATCAAAAAGATATTTTTGAAATTTAGCTATCTCCATATGTAGATAAGAACACATAATCTTATATCTATGATGTGTTACATTTTTTTCCATTCTTCCTCTTTCTTGCTCACATCTTTTGCTTTCTTCTCACACCAGCTTGGCCTCTGCCTCAGCTCTTTGGTACAGGCCACAAGAGCTGAGTGCTGGCATCAACAGAGATTTATTTATAAGCTGACCGAGGCCTTGTGAATTCTGCTGCAGCACCCTTTGCAAAGCCAAGGAAAGGTAAATTGAGGTTAGTTGATACGAGATATGGAGGACAGGCTTAGGTGCTCTGAGGGGCAGTGAAACACCTGATTCTGCCTCCATTTGGGCTGAGCTGACATGTTAGAAGTTGTCAGAATAAACACTCTAACAGGACTGTGCTTTTAAGTGCAAACTTGGTTTTAGAGATGTGGGCAGACATTTCAGTAGTACCTCTGGCTTACTTTTGTCAGCTTTTGCAACTGTACTGGGAAATAAGTTGTGAATCTAGTTGGTCTTATCTTCCTCACTTTTCCTGAGCTACTGTTAGTAGGATAGAGTAGTCAGAAAGAAGCTGATGGGAAGGCAAAATGGACTTTGTTTAGGTGAGGGGCTAGATTATTCTCTTTATTCTTCTGATGTAGATTTTATTTCCAGCAGAGAAAGGCACAGAATCATAGCATTGATGCTAAGGTTTGGATTGGAAGGGGCCTTTAAGATCATCTGTACTGGGCAGGGACACCTTCCACTAGACTGGGTTGTTCAAAGCACCATCCAACCTGGCCTTGAACACTCCCAGGGATGGGGATGGGACATCCAAAACTTCTCTGGACAACCCATGTCAGTGCCTCACCACCCTTGAATTTATTCCTAATATCTAATCTAAACCTGCCCTCTTTCGGTTTTAAGCCATTGATTCTTGTCCTATCACCACATGCCCTTATAAAAAAGTCCCACTCCAGCTCTCTTGTAGCCCCCTTTAGGTACTGGAAGGCTGTTTCAAGGTCTCTCTGGAGCTGAACAACCTTCTCCAGGCTGAACAACCCCAACTCATTTAGCCTGTCTTCATAGCAAAGGTATTCCAGTCCTCTGATCATCTTTGTATCACTCCTCTGGACCTGCTTCAACAGGTCAATATCCTTATGCTGGGGACCCCAAAGCTGGATACTGAACTCCAGGTGGGGTATCACAAGATCTCTGTACCTTTTACCCCTTACCTTTCACCCAGGCTGTGTAAACACTTGGAATTGCCAGGGGAAGGGTTCAGACCAAGAAGACTCTTGTGGACAGTGAGTCCTTGTGGGGGTTGCACAAGTAATCTGCATTACTGACCTAAGGGATGCTTTCATGCTGATGGTGTGAGGTTCTTCCTACGCCTGCTCTGATCCCATGGTCAGTGCAGGTCCTGCAAGCCATGGCTGGGACCCATGCTGATGAAGGGCATCAGTAAGGCTGATGGTTAGAGGGAAAATCTGATACCACTGTCAGATGCAGATTTCACTCCTCCCTTGGACTGATAGAATCATAAAACAAACCAAAACTCAGATGTGCACCTAAGACCAAAGTCTAAAGTTGGGTGAAATACAGTGCCATGCTTTTTAGGAGGAATTTGTCTGGACCTTGGAGAGATGGCTTTTTAGTCTCATTAGCGAACAACACTTAGTCCTTCATGAAAAAAATCTTATTTGGGTTCTAACAAAAAGAACTCATGCAGCACCTGTTGCTGAGAAAGCTAAGCCAAGAGCAGTTAAGTCTTACTCTATTTGTGTGAGGGCCTTGTGGGCACCCAATAGGACTTAACTGCCATGACTTGATCTCCCTTGGGCCTCCACTCCTTACATCAGCCTTGGGCCTAAGAGGATCATTAAACTGAAGTGGTCCTCTCCCGAGATACATGAGTGCATGTAGGCTGCTCTGAGCACTGTCTTCTGCATTTTTTGAGGCCTTAGCTGGACTGCTGAGATTGGCCTTGGACCCAGTTTGTCACCTTGTGTTTTGTCATGTTCTGCCCCAGCCATACCTGGGGATGTTGCTCGAATGATAAAGGACACAAAACTCGGATAAGTTTTGTGCGGCGCTTTATTGAAGGGCCCGGGGGCCTGCGGACTAGCGTCCCTAAAAACAGAACTCCAAAATTCACACATGGGTGTTTTCTTTTTATACACAAGCAATTCATAACAAAGTCTCCAAGAAACAGTGGCCCTTCGCAAAGTCTCCAAAAAACAGTGGCCCTTCGCCAAACTACGGACCCTTGTAATACATTCCCTAGTTCACGAGCAAAATCATAAATCTTCTACCTGTCCTATTGTATGCTATCCCCAAACCGGTTAGTCTTCTTACTCTCCTACCCTGGCTTAATGTTTGTTAGGTTTCTAAAGCTACTTGCCAGGGTTACACAAAACTCAATCACATAATATCAACGGCTACAAAATTATTTTTACAAACCAATTCACACAAAACTCATAACTAAACTATAATAAAACATTTTGCTAAATTTCATTTCTTTTCCAACATTTCTCCCCTTTTGAGCATCCTTCAGTCCTGCTGCAAGGATGCTCAACCAACGGTATTGACAGTAACATCTTCATAGCAAGGTGGGGGATGTTCTTCGTTCTGCCGCCCACGGGTCATCACCTTCAGCAACCGGATAGATCGCTTCCTTTCTTTTTCAATCACACTTAAAAGACATCTATATACAATCCATATAGTCACCAAAAATACCAAAAGCATTAGTACATACTGTATAACGGAAGTAATCCAGCTAGACAGGTGAAGCTCCAAAGAATCAAATACTGCTCCTATCCAATTATGCTGTGCTTCCCTTTCAATTTCCTTGGTTTTTGGTTCTACTTCTGCCAATTGGGAAATATCTTTCTCCACTTCAAGTGTAACATTTGGAATGTGTACACAGCAATGATCTACTCTCCTACTCAGGTAACTACAAACTCTATGTTCTTTTAACAGTAGCAAATCCAATGCCATTCTGTTTTGTAAGGTCATTCTTGATGTAGCTTGCAATTGCAAATTTAGATCTTTAAATCCCTTCTTAGTAGCTGCTGCCAATCTTTCTGTCTGTCCTAACAAGTTGTTGAGCATTTCCCTATTTCGATATGTTGCTATCGGAGGGAATAATGACTCTAATATCCACTCAAATTGTACTCCTGTGCCAGGTTCATGCTACTGCTCTTCTAGGGATTCTTCTCTCTTTTTGAGTCCTTTCTTTTGAATCAATCTATTCTGCTTCTAGTATGGACACAATGTGGGAACCCCTAGGGTAATTTGTGTTACTGATCCATCTAAAGATAAATGTGTGGTCCACTGTCTGTGTCCCAACACCCAGACTAGATTTCCAGGACTGTGCAC